CCAGTCTCAAATAATAATAATAATAATAATAATAATAACACCTTAATTATTTGCCCAAACTTATTCCTTCCGTGAGATGTATTCCACACCCCTTACCTGCCTATCAGATTCTGAATTACAGCTGCTTCTCCCAGGGTCCAGACTACCCTCCAGGCTGGCTGCTGCCCCTGTGCCCACCTGCTCTCTCCCTGTGCAGAAGCATGCCTTCTGCCACTTCACTCCTCTGCGCAGTTCCTGCTGCTCAGGACAATGTCCAGAGATTCCACTGGGAGCTGTTCACAGATGTCTTACCTTGTCTGGTAAAAATTTTTGGTGGTGGTGGTGATGGTTAAAAAAAAAAAATTACTATCGTAACCATTTTTTTTTTCTTGGTACTCACTGGTTATAGCTTTTTTGTTTGTTCATTTGAGACGGTGTCTTGCTCTGTCGCCAGGCTGGAGTGCAATGGCATGATTTTGGCTCACTGCAACCTCCACCTCCTGGGTTCAAGCAATTCTCCTGCCTCAGCCTCCCGAGTAGCTGGGATTACAGGCGTGCGCCACTATGCCTGACGAATACAGGCATGCGCCACAATGCCCGGCTCATTTTTGTATTTTTAGTAGAGATGGGGTTTCGCCATTTCGGTCAGGCTGGTTTCGAACTCCTGACCTCAGGTGATCCACCCTCCTTGGCCTTCCAAAGTGCTGGGATTATAGGCATGAGCCACCGTGCAGGCCCCCATACTTTCATTATTGAACTTAACACCTTGTTCATTCCCTTTAAGGCACTTTGCATTGTATAATCATTACTTTTATTAATTTGTTTACTGGTGTAATGCCTGTTTGGCTTAAGAGGTCTATTGTATGAGGGCAAGGCTAGGCCCACTGTAGGTGTACAAAACACATTTGTTGTATGGTTGAGGTTCAGTAACTGGCCTTGGTCACGCAGCCCCTCATAGCGGAAGTAGAATTTGCCTTTGGGTCTAAATTACTTGGCATTTATGTGACTAATCCCAATCATGTACCACCTCCACTGTATTTTTTAAAAATTAAAAAAAAAAGCTTTTGAGACAGGGTCTTGCTTTATCACCCAGGCTGGAGTGCAGTGGCATGGTTACAGTTCATAGCAGCCTTGATCTCTCAGGCTCAAGTCATCCTCCCACCTCAGCCTCCTGAGTAGCTAGGACCTCAGGTGCGAGCTACTACATCTGGCTAATTAAGAAAAAAAAAAAATTTACGTAGAGATAGGGTCTGACTGTGTTTGGCCAGACTGGTCTTGAACTCCTGGGTTTAAACCATCCTCCCTCCTCCGCTTCCCAAAGCGCTGAGATTACAGGCATGAGCTACCACACCTGGCCCCTTGTATTTTTTCAGTTAGAATTTTTTGGGGTTTTTTGTTTGTTTTTTGGAATGTTTGTATGTTTGTTTTGAGACAGGGTCTCAGTCTGTCGCCCGGGCTGGATCACAGCTCACTGCAGCCTCGACCTCTTGGGCTCAAGCAGTCTTCCCACCAAGTATCTGGGACTACAGGCTCACACCACCAGGCTAGGCTAATTTTTGTATTTTTTGTAGAGATGGGATTTCGCCTTTGCCATGTTGCCCAGGGTAGTCTCAAATTGCTGGGCTCAAGTGATCTTCCCACCTCAGCCTCTCAAAGTCCTGGGATTACAGGCATGAGCCACCGTGCCTGGCCAGATTGTTTTTTCTTTTTTTTCACTTTGATAACAACATGACATTTCATGTCACTGGATTACAATTTGTTCTTTTTTTTTTTTTTTGAGACTCTGTCGCCCAGGCTGGAGTGCAGTGGCCGGATCTCAGCTCACTGCAAGCTCCACCTCCTGGGTTTACGCCATTCTCCTGCCTCAGCCTCCCGAGCAGCTGGGACTACAGGCGCCCGCCACCTCGCCCGGCTAAGTTTTTGTATTTTTTAGTAGAGACGGGGTTTCACCGTGTCAGCCAGGATGGTCTCGATCTCCTGACCTCGTGATCCGCCCGTCTCGGCCTCCCAAAGTGCTGGGATTACAGGCTTGAGCCACCGCGCCCGGCCAATTTGTTCTCTTTTCTAACATTTTCACTGTGGAATTTCCCTACTACAGCCAGTATTTACTGTACTCACTTATGTGTTCATGAAGTGGGGAGCTGGGTGCCTGCTTCTGGTTGCAGTGTTTCATCGTATGGTTAAAGTCTTCCTCGCATTTTCAGGAACACGGTCATAGTGGCAGGCATCTGGCTTGTCCACAGACTTCAGGGCACTTAGCTTCCTATTAGGAGAAAACGTTTTCTATCTATCAAAGTAGCCTCATTGTTCTTCAGTGATATCCCAGTTTGTCCTGGGTGTGGCGAGGGCACGTGGCCTCGGAGGTGCCAGTGGGCCCATCGGGTGCATGCCTCCTCCCTGTGTGAGGGGAGAGCTGCCCCACTCTGCTTTTTATTGTATTCAGCAAACATTTGCAGGTGCTATAGAGGCCTTGCAACTATTTTGCATAAGTTGGGTCAAATCAAATTCACAAACTCACCAAACTCCTACTGGCCACTGCCCTCCTCATGCTTGTCCTCTGGACCGAGTTACACACCAGTACCCCCTTTCCTTTGGCAGGGCCAGATCGTGGCACCCAGAGGCTGCCGGGACTTTGGCTGGGACCCCTGCTTTCAGCCTGATGGATATGAGCAGACGTAAGGAGCCCTGGTTTCTTCCCTGGGGTGTGGGGTTGGCATAGCCATGGTTTGGGTTGGGCCAGTGCCCCGCCCAAGTGCAGGCATGCGGATATGGGCTGGGGAGGCTCTGAGGGTGCCGTTCCAGCCAAAGGCAGCTCTGCTGGGGTGGACACTAGGAATCTGGGTGGCCTAGTCCATGGTCGGGAAGGCAGCCAGATGGCATTGGGAGTCCTGGGCTCTAAGGCTCCAGGTCACCCCACATCAGCTGTGTAGCCAGTGGTTTCGCCTCTCTGGCCTTGGATTGTAAGCTGTACCTCTGACTTTTTTTTTTTTGAGACGGGGTTTTGCTTGCTGCTGGAGTGCAGTGGTGCAGTGGTGTGATCTCGACTCACTGCAGCCTCTGCCTTCCGGGTTCAAGCGATTCTCCTGTCTCAGCTGGGATTGCAGGCACGCACCATCATGCCCAGCTAATTTTTGTTATTTTTGGTAGAGACGGGATTTCACCAGATTGGCCAGGCTGGTCTCAAACTGACCTCAGGTGATCCACCTGCCTTGGCCTCCCAAAGTGCTAGGATTACAGGCATGAGCCACTGCGCCTGGCCACATCTGACAGTTTTATGGCGTCATTTTCTGACCCCCATCTAGGTTGGGAAAATGTCCAGGGTTTTGCAGCCTCTTGTGGGCACTATTTTATGCCCTCGAAGTACCAGTTGTTCTCAGTAGTTCACACGAATCCCCCCTTATTCACACAAGGCACGGGCCATTGTTGGAATCAGGCTTTCCAGGCTGGAGGGGCCCTGAGGGAGCGCAGTCTGAGGCCCCACAATAGCCCCAGCAGGGGTGAGGACATTGTGGAACCAGCCACTAGCCATATGGGGCTGTGGAGTACTTGCATGTGGTGAGACCCAGAAATGGAATATTTTTATTCAGTGTTAATTCATTTAAATAGCCACACCTGGCTAGTGGCTACTGGCTGCCGTCTTGCACAGAGCAGTCTGCAGGCCACAGGCGGGGTATGGGATTCTTACCTCACTGCCGTGCTGGCACAGAGGTCAGGCCCCTGGCCAGCTGTTCAAGTGCTCCCCCGCCCTCCACGCATTAGAGGAGACTGCTGTGTTTGCTCTGTCAGGCCCCACTGCTTCCTGTCAACAGATGACAAAGCTGATCAAACATGCAGCTCATCCCCCCTGTCCCCAGCTTCCCTTAATGACTTTTGGGCACACTAGAGCAAGTTTAATATCCCTCCATGCTCATTCATGGGGGTTTCTGCCCCAGGGGAATTGAAAACTTGATCCGATTTTTAAAAGTTAACTGGCTGCCAGCAACCGCTGGGCCCCTCTGCTTTTCTGGGGGTCTGTGAGCTTTGGACTCCGGGGATGAGATGAGGTAGGGTAGGGAGGGGGTGCGTTTCCTCCCTGAATCTGGGCTCCCTGAGCTGTTACTGTCATCCCTCAGGTACGCAGAGATGCCTAAGGCGGAGAAGAACGCTGTCTCCCATCGCTTCCGGGCCCTGCTGGAGCTGCAGGAGTACTTTGGCAGCTTGACTTCTGCGGCTGGGGGAGGCCCCTCAGGCCGGGGATCTGGGGAGGGCTAGCCTGAAACCTCCTGCATCAGGCAGGCACCCCTGGAAGTACTTCCTTCAGGGTTTCCGCTTCCTGGGGGTGTCGAGTAGCCTCACCAGCCTGTCTGGAGGAGCAGCTGGCTCTGCTCTGAGAAACTCTGGGCAAGTGGATGCCATTCTCTTGCCCTTAGGATTCACTGCTCTCTCCTACAACCTCCAGGCCTGGGATCCTGCAAGGACCTTGGGTGGTAAAGCTGGACTTGGTGGGAGTGAGGGCTTGGGGAGGAACCATGGAAATCACCTCCCATGTTTTTTAAATGCAATAAATAACACTTCTGGATGAGACTTGTTTCCAAAATAAACCAGCTATATCTGTTTTGAACCCTGCCCCAGGCAGGTGTCTCAGTCTCCTTTGGCAGGTGCAGGAAGCCTTTTAGGTGGGGGTGGGGATGGGGACACGGGCAGCACTCTGTGGAAGGCGTTCGGATGCCACTGTGAACTGCAGTGTTACATCTCCACTCGCGTTCCTGCCTCACTCAGTGGCATGGATTGTGGGCTGACCTCCACCCTGGATCCATGCTGCCCCCTACCTGCAGGTAGTGCCAGGGCCTCCATGAAGCCTTACTGGGTTGGGGGCTGGGCGGTGTGGCACGCCCAGTGCTTTTGCCTTATGCTGTTACACAGCAGAGCCGCTAAAATGTTGGTTTACAATTACAATGCCCAGTTCATTTTTATGGTGAGGAGGGGCTGGAGTCCTCGACCCCAGTTGGCTTGATAGCCACAGTTCAGCCTGCCGGCTGCAGACCCCTCAGGAGACCTCGCTCATGCCACACACCCTTACTCTGTGCCCTGGAGAAGTCATTGCCTGGAAGGGACTTCCCCAGGTGGCTGCCTTGTCAGAGTGTCCAACCCAAGGACATTCAAGGGGGGCGTGGTAGGCTCAGGCTGGTGGGGCACCCCCAGGCTTGCTTCTGTGCCCACAGGCAGCTCTGGAGAGACCCCTGCAGTCCCTGTGACTCCATCCAGCAGGATGGCCCTGGGTCAGGACAGTGTCGTTCCTTCATCCCCTCTTGCCTGCAAGCTCCGGCTGGGTTAAATCCCCAGGAGGTGCTGCGTCCCTGCCCAGTCTCCTGAGTCTCCTTGATGGGTGGGAAAAGTCTAGCTGGGCCTCAGACGTGGGGTGCTGGGGGCCTGCCTGCTCCTTGCCAGTTGATCATGGATGCAGCCCCCCTGTGCAGGGAACACCCAGGCTACTGATGAGGGTACTCCAAAGAAGAATCACATGCTGCCTGGGTGGGATGGGGACATAGGCGTGGGGCAGGGCACCTCTCTGTATTGCCTGTTCAGTTCCTCCAGAATTCTGTCCTGGGTGCACATGACACTTTCTGCCCATTTTTTTTTTACTTTAGCTACCTGTGATACTCTGAAGTATATATCTAGTTCCAGGCAAGGTGGCTCATGCCTGTAATCCCAGCACTTTGGAAGGCCAAGGTGGGAGGATCGCTTGAGCCCAGGACTTCACGACCAGCCTGGGCAACATGGCAAAACCTTGTCTTGGGCCGGGCGCGGTGGCTCAAGCCTGTAATCCCAGCACTTTGGGAGGCCGAGGCGGGTGGATCACGAGGTCAGGAGATCGAGACCATCCTGG